AAGTGTTGTCATAAGTTTGGAAAACAATAGTCATGACAGGTTGGTGATATTAAAATTACTGTTTTGAAGAGAAAAAGCAAGGCTGAAATAGCACATATCTTTGTCTAAGAGCTCCCTCTAGCTCATCAAACAGTGTTCAGTACCACAGAACTATTCCTTGCACCACAGAGCAACACTGCACATATGTGAGTTGGATTTACAGAAAAGTATTGCAGTACAGAATATACACAGCATGAAAATCCACTTCTCATCACTCCCATAGGATCGAGAACAACAATAAATACAAACCAGTTTCCCAAGACTTTAATTTTTGGCTTTAGAAGAGTTTGTACCCCTTCTTGCAACTCTCTCAGAATCTTACCAAAAAACAAAACCAAAAAAAAGCCCCCCCAAAAAAAAAAAGAAAAAGAAAAAAAGAAAACAAAAAAAACCCACAACTCTCAATATTGTTTTGCCAAGCTGTGTAATGCAGCAGATTTGGCTCTGCAGGTTCACTAGGAGGAAATGGGAGAATGGAAATTGCTCGATAAGATATTAAGTTCAGTTTCCCAAGACTTTAATTTTCCTTAATGTTAAATCCAACCTGGCTTTAGAAGAGTTTGTACCCCTTCTTGCAACTCTCTCAGAATCTTACCAAAAAACAAAACCAAAAAAAAGCCCCCCCAAAAAAAAAAAGAAAAAGAAAAAAAGAAAACAAAAAAAACCCACAACTCTCAATATTGTTTTGCCAAGCTGTGTAATGCAGCAGATTTGGCTCTGCAGGTTCACTAGGAGGAAATGGGAGAATGGAAATTGCTCGATTTCCTTGAAACCCCTGCAGGCAGGACCTCTTGAAATGCACCTGGCAGCACCTGAGTTACTGTCCCTGGTGATTCTCAACACCCACATGCCCTGCACTGTGTTGGACAGCAGCAGCAGCCACCCCACCTTCCCCACTTTCTTCTCCCTGTGCCCAGGTAAGAAGTTGGTGCCACAGAGTGGTTGCAGTGGCTGCTGGAAGGGCAGGGGAGGTGAGGGAGGAGATGAAAACATTGATTTTCCAAAGGGCAAAGAAGGTCACACCCCTGGAGATCACAGGGATGGAGTCACGCTCCCCACACCCAGCACTTGCAAAGTTGCACCTTTGCTGGAAGCTCATGCTGGGCTTTAATTCACTGCCAGGACCTCAGCACAGTTTATGCAGAAAATAAAATACAGCTGCCCTGCTCTACTTCATTGAGCAATAGGGAAACTGGTTTCTCAGTCAGCTGCAGCTGTCTGGGGGTGATATCTGAACAGAGAGCTGGGTCTGGAAATCTGTCAGAGCTGGGCAGAGCTGTGGTATCAGCTGGGAAGGGTCCAACAATGGCAGCAGCAAGCCTCTTCCTCCTTCTGCATCATGGAGCACAGGCAGCACCATGATGGGGAGTGACTGGAGGTCCCTTACACCACAAATCCACATTTAGACAGTGCCAGGTATTCCAGTTTCTGCCAGTTTTCACCCTTTGTTGAGTTTCCCCAAACAGACACTGTTTCACAGAAATCATCATGGTTCTTCTTCTTGATTTATGAGCCTCGAATGAAGGACTGATAAAGAAAGTAAATGCAAGTAAGGCTGAGAATAAGTGTCTTAAGGTCTTTTCCTGCCTCCTCCTAACACCCCACCAGCCTCAGTTCAGTATTTCTCTTCACTAGAGCAATGTAATTAGAATCACCATAAAACTTTCATTTTTAGCTTTATACAACTTTCCCTCAGAAATAAGTCCTATCTAAACAGAAGAAAGTCAGAACTGGAAAAGCTGAATTTATTAATCATCCCAAGCTGGATCAATACACTTATTTTTAGTTAATAGCTCATCCTGTGTGTGAACATGCACAGTGCCCACACTCCAGCCTTGCCTCCAAACAAAATCCTGGTTAAATACCTACTCCCAGCCAAGGAGAGAACAGAACAGCAGACTCAGAGATTAACTGCAAAAAAGTTTCCTTCATCTAAACTTAATTAATGTGCATCCTTATCAGGTTTTAGAAAATTGCTGAGAAATCACAAGCTCTGTGCAAAAAAAAAAAAAAAAAAAAAAAAAAGTTTCTAGAAGTAGAAAGGTCTAGGGTTTCCTTTCTGGTAGAAAAAAGATAAAAAATTGTGTTCCTATATCATCTGTAATTGTCCAATAAATTGCAGCTATCTGATTTTCTGTTAAAGGCCAAAAGGCAAGAATTCAAATGGAAATCCCTTCTATCACTATGTTCTGTACATAAGTAATGTATCAATGCAATGAGGAAATTAATTGGTTTCATGTTTCTTAGAGTGCACATGGAAAAAAAAAATTCAAAGGACCCAGTTGCTATCTCTAATTAGAATTTCTGAGGATCCACATCTTGGAGACAGATTGTCAGTTTCTTCAGGCATTTCCTACCCATGCCAGCCAAATTTATGCACTCCATTTCCAATTAGTACCTTAATTCCCTTTCCATAACTAACAAACTAGGGCTGGCTGATAGATTATTTTAATTCACACAGTCACAGAGATCTATCAGTGAGCATCTGGGCAAATGGGTAAACCACTGTGTTGCAGTGATGGACAAACACTGCTATAAGGAGTATTTCTACTACAAAATTAAACCCATTACAATTGTCATCTAGGACAGTACTTTTAGAGGAGAAAAGAAGTAGGTAAAAAAGAGCAAAAATATTTTGAAAACAATATGGCTGTTGTAAGACATTCAAATACATGAAAAGGCTTTAATGAATATCTCTGCTTCACTCACAGGGTCTTCAGGAAATCTGGGCTGGTTCTGGTTATTCAGTATAGTCTCCTTTAACTGCATCAAATCCTCACAGAAGGCTCTCAAGTCAAGCACCCCAGAAGGGCAAACTCAGCTATGGAAGATGTCCCTACCCATTGCAGGGGGCTTGGACTAAATGACCTTTAAAATGCCAACCCAAACCATTCAGTGATGCTATGGTCTGGTGTCCTTCCTGGGTACCCAATTATGAAAAAGTCAAACTTATAAAAAAAGCAAGAAATTAGAAACTATCTTACACAAATTCACACTCACTGTTGTTTTTCTTCCCTCCCACTCCTTCCCTGCACAGCCCAGCAAAGCAAACAGAAAACTCCTGTCACTCAGCAGCTTTCCCAAAGTTCACTGGATTTACTGAAAGCCAGAGGGGATCCTGGGAGGGGCAGCATGATTCTGATGGCAGTGTAGATCTTTTTTGGGACAGAAGGCCCCTTGGCCTGGGACCTGGATGCTGACAAGGTGCTAGGTGAGTGTGGTTTGTGGGGTGACAAGTGGCACAAGGTGACTGCAAGCACACAACAGCAGAGAGACTGTTCAACCCCGGGGACAGCATGTTCTGTCTGTGGCAAAACTGACACACTCCAGGGCAGGTGTAAATAAGAGCTGTTGGCTGGTACATGCAGGCAGAACTAAGACATGTTGTTCTACAGACATACTGAGATATTTCTCCCTGCTTATTTGGTGCTGCTCACTGCAAAATGTCTTGGCCTGGGAATGTTGATTTTTTTCTAAAATCAGTTTTCTGAAAAAAAGCAAAACACACAACCCTGCTACCTCTAACCATTTACTGAAGGGGTTTTTTCTACTAGATGTGTTCTAACCAAATACACAAATGTTAATTATAGAAGACAACAGCTATGCATCATCCTGTGGCTGGGACAAGGTGCAGTGGTCTATGTGCTCTGTAGCATTTCTATACATAGAGTGCTATTGTATATGTGAACTCAGTGGGATGTGAACTGTAGCTATGCATCAAACACTGGGTTGTGTTCCAGCTGTTCCAGATTGCACTGGCAATCAGGTGAAGTGGCTAATTAACACCTGCCATGTTCAGGATTCTACACAGGCAGCAGAGAAGAGCTGAGACCCCTCTGTCCCAGACAACCTGCAAGATCCCCTTGGATACTGAATCCACTGCTCCTAAACCAGGCTCTTCTGAAGGTGACAAAATTACAAGACGAGGACCAAGCAGCCCTCCCAGAGCCAGTTTAAATCCCTACTGAACATTATATTCTGCATTTGATCTCTAATGGGACAGGGAGCACTGGACAGTGACAGGTGGGATCATTACTGACAGCTAAGGATCCTGCTAGGACTGATGAGAAATATTTTGATTGTATAAAAGCATATAAAAATGGCAGCATCTGTCCATCAGTTTCCCAAATATTGACATCTCCTGAAAGCTCTGCTCTTCTGATTCTCACTCACTTCTGTAATGGAGACAGCAAACCAAGCCCAGGACTTGGGGCTGCCTCCACACTTCCATTAAGCGTCCCAGTTAAATTTCAGCAAAGATCACTGAGGTGTATGACAGCTATTTTATCATCTTCAAAATCCCTGAAAAAGTACCTATTAATACCTGGACATTTCACTCTTCTGAGAAGCACTACTAAGGCATCCTTTCAAAATAAATTGTTACAGCATATAGGGATTCCTAATTCAACTCGGGCACAGCTACAGCAGAATTAAGCACTATGATACATTAAATAGAAATGACCTTGGAAAAAAATGGTTGGCAATATACCAGAAGCACTTTACTTACACAAAAATCAGAGTAATGAAGTAAATTGCTGTTCGGTATCTATGACTTTTCATCTTGTAGGCTAACTGCAATGGTGAAATTCCATTTGCTTATACAAATGTTAGGCGAGGAATAATAAATTTGCATCAGTTAAAACTTCATGCAATGAACTGGCCAAAAGCCTGGAATTTTTTTAAATTATCAGGTGTAATGACAGAATCCTAACACTACAAGTAGGATTTAAAACTGACTAGAAAGCAGGAGCCAACAGGTCAATGCAGACTGTTCATGATGGTAGCGGTGGATGGCTGTTGGGAAATTCTTCATACAAACTTTTTTTTCATCAAGATTAGGAAAACCAAATGTTTTCACATTCTTATCCAAGTTAAGCACAACAACGAGTAGATCAGCTTTTTAAAAGCATTTTAATTTTTAGCAGCTTCCCTAGAGAAAATTACAGAGCAATAAAACCTACCTTCCCTATGGATCCCACAGAATAAATCAGTGTATCTTCTCCCACATTATGACCTGCACATCAGCTCAGGCTCTTGCTGAGGACCACCAGAAGTACTGCAGTGACCAGCAGGACACAAGGTAGTGCTGTGATAAACCTAGCAATCTCCAAAAGGAGGTGGGCACAGAACTGCACACAGCATGGACATGTGGAGCAAAGGCACACAACCAAAACAGCATCAGGTGCCATGGGCTTTAAATTAAATGTCAGTACGACCCCCCTCCCCATCCCTCTGTGCCCCACAACTCTTTGTGTTCAAAAGTCAACTCAATCTAGACTAATGCAGCCATTTGGAGTGAATTAACACTAATTTTGTCTCCCTGAGAAAGCCCTTGCAGTTACACCTGACTATTTATAACAGCTTGACTAACAGAATTATTCTGTGCTCCCAAGCAAGAGGATAAACTGAAACACCCTCCCAGTACCAGTGAGGCACTGGAGATCCTGTTTTCAGCCACTGTTGTTGCTCTTCTATTTTTGGATTGGAGAAAACAAATTGCTTGATCCTGGCTGCTGCCTTCTCCACAGGGCACGCTTTCTATAGGTGACTCCTTCCCAAACATCCCTTGCTGCCAGAACATCTATTGTCAGGATCCTTCCCAGCCAAAGAGGTAAGAGACATTTGCCTCTGCATGCAGGCTGGTGTCTCACAAACTTTGCTCTAAAGCTGCCAACAAATAAATAAATGAGCATTATTCAAGAGCATTCACCCATGAAATATTGGTCTGCTTCAGCTACTGATATCCCATGGCCACTGTGGGACACCAGTCAAAAGACACCATTAGAGAACATGGGAAATCCATGTGATGGATTTCCAGATGTAGAAAATGGTGCTGTCCTGAAAAGCATCACTATAGACCAAAAGGACCAAAAGTTGAGCTGCTCATGTTGATTCAGGAAAGGTGAGCGCAGACTGAGCTGCTTCGTTTTCTCTGGTGTGCTCACAGGGAAAATTTTCCTGCAAAGAACCTAAAGGCCCTGTGATATACCCAACACTCCTAGTCAATGCAGCAAAAAGACAGTGTAGGTAGCCCAGCAAATCATCTGTCTGTAATATTTAATTAGAAGGCTGTGCTCAGAGTAATGTCCTAGGAAAATGGCAGCCCAGAGCAAGAGAATATTGACAGGCCTGTGTGTGAGCAGGGAAAATGCTCTGGTGGGATTGGAGAGGTTACTTTGAAACTTTACCACCACCTTTTGTACTTCCTACAGCAAGTCATTTACTGTCCTCTGCTTTCGCTGCCCCACTTGAGGCCATCAAAATTTAGCCACCTTGCACAATTCTTGACTTCAAAAATAAAACCCACATCTAAGTGGAGGGTGTCATTCCTGTGACACAGAATTTGTTCTCTGCTGTGAGCCTGTCCTTTTTAACCTCACAATTCATGGTGTGGCTTGAAGAGCACGTAGAACGGCACAAATAATTGTAGATAAGAGCACCTGCCTTTTGCTTCTTTGGAGTCAATCCTAATGGGTTAATTTACCTTCAGCACTCAAATCACATCTTTTTTGATGAGAGACTTGGGGTGCACTTCAAAATGTTGAGGCAGTTGACACACAATGTCTGATGTCAAAGGCAATTGCTGTTGTTCACTGCAGAGGAGCAGACCTGGCTGGAACAACAGGACACTTGACAGTAATTTTCAGTGTGCAAGACAAATAGCTGGATACTGTGCAGCTGAATGTCTGGGATGATAGATGGGAACTGTATAATAACAGCCATCACACAGCAGCTCAGAGCAGGGAACAGAAGCACCACATCAAGTTTTACAGCACCAATGAAAACACCACCACGCTGGAGTTGTCCAAATGTCCTGAACAGCAAGTGCTGGACTGACCACTGAGATGCTTCAGACTGGCTAAAAGGGATTATTTGAACTTCTGGCCAATGGATTGGGCACTCTTTATATGTTTAACCCTTATATAAAGGTAATGCTTGTGACTTCAGAGTTCTTTACTTCTGCTCCTGCTACACCAACAGCAAACAGATCACACAGGGACTTTAGCCCACACCACAGGAACCACGGCACAGCTTTTTTACCAGAACCCTTGGCACCACATCACCTTTGTGGAAGGACCAGAGAAGGACCACTGAGCTGGGAATGGTCATTCAAAGCCCTGCCAATATTGCCACGTTCCTCATCAATACCATAGGTAACCAGAGATTTCCAAAGGAAGAGGCCAGCTGTTCAAAAGGTTCCATGCAGCAAAGCCATGGTGTGGCTGTCTCAGGTCTAGGAATTCCCATCAAGATTATGATAAAAACAAAAGATCAGGTTCAAGGGAACAGTATCCTTCTGGCACATCCTATCTTGACATCAATTTAGCAAACAAATACTGATGGAACAGGCTCCACTGCCTGCCCTCCTTCCCCCATAGGAGTGGTCAGGATTCAGTCCCAATCTTCTTTCAGTGTGCTCACAGTTTAACACATTGCTCTCCTCCTCCATCTATCTGCTTCCTCTTAGAAGCTCTAATTCATGGTTTGGGAAAGGTTAAAGCAATCCCAAATGAAATGAAATGAATTCATAAAGCTATTTAGGAGCTTGGTCTTTAAGTGGCAAGAAATGCAGACCCAGAAACAGGACATTGATGAACTAACAGTTGCCTTGAGGATAACAAGGCTGAATCCCTGTGTCTGAACTCCCCATTATTGAACTCCAAAGCTATAATAAATGCCTTGTTTGATGTCCCCAGCCCCCGATAAGTCACAGTATAGCAAGTCATTGCTGCCCTGTTTGTTAGAAGGAAGAGATGCTGACAGCTCAGTGAAGATAAGAAGCAAAATAACATTAAAAACAGATTGATGAAACACAAATACAGAAGGACCCAAGAATAGCTACAGTCCAGGAGTAAAATGATTTCAAAGACATCAAAAGAAGAGCTTTAAACATAAGCAGCACTGTCACAAACAACAACAATGTGAAATGAACCTTCTCAGCTCTGACACTGCACATCAACCCCATGCCTTTGAAAAGATGTAATATTCACACTCACACAAATTACATGGGGCAGCTGAAGTACAGCATCACACAGTACCACTGAATAATGAAGAAAGGATGCATGGAAAGAATAAACACTCACAGTTCATCTGATTGTGACGGTTACACTCAATTTAGTGCTACCATCAGCTGGTAATTGGTAAATGGATGTCTGAATCAACTCAAAATTCAGGGCAGCATGAAAACATTACCAGAAATTTCATTAGGAAATGCAGTTTCTTTCTCTGCTTCCAGAAGTAAACAGCTTTTCTCAGCCTTTCAGAGATTGTAGTCCTAACATGACCCTCTCAGGACTCAGAAAAAACCTGCTGTTTCTGAAGAAGGGCTAGCACATGTCTGTCCTTGTCAGAGACTGGATATACCACCAGATTGAAGCCCAAGTTTGTGACACAGATTTGAGTTGAAGAAAACTCTTCTCACTCAGTTCCAGCTGCATGTCTTGATCTCACTGCATGGGAAGAAACAGGCAGTGCCTTGGAGTTGTTGCTCTGACCTATTTCAGACCTGTGTGAACTGCACTCAGCAGCACACACTTCCCTCCTTGGATTACAAAGAGAAACCAAACTGATGAGTTCAGGTTCAGGTATCTGAGAATTATCAAGTGGAACAGATGAACTCTGTCCTAAAACACAGCACATCATTTTAAGATTATAACCCTGTTTTCTCAGCACAAAACTGAGCTACCTGAGTATCCACTAAGGAATCAGGAATATCAAATGTGATAAATACCTTCCTAACAGAAGAGTTGACATCTTCAGGAGGAGGAAAAATTGTAAAGTAAATTTTTCATAACACCCCCTTCTTCCAGGAGGATTTGCTCACATCTAGCTCCACTCTGCTGCCCTTCACAGAGCTGGAAAACCCAACAGAATGGTCAACAAGACCAAGAAACTGAGAGCTCCAGAGCAAAAGATGCTCATGTTGAGCAGCTGTGCCAGGCTGCCATATGTTTGCCTTCCTAGTCAGCACTCACCATTCCCATGATGATATCAGAGATCATCTGGATGGAATAAAATTAGTATCTGTTGTTAATTACCACTGTGGAGGCCTAGTAGAGTGCTGAGTGCATCTCTGGCACTACACAAGACTGGTCAAAACATTAGAATCCTTGGAGCTAACAAAAGCAAAATAGCACTTTGGTCAAACTTTTTAAAGGATTCAGATGAAAAGAAAACTTATTAAAAAAAAAAAAAAGGTAGAGAAATCCAGGAAGCACTTCCTTGTAGTCCAAAAGGAAAGGAAAATCCCAACCAGAGCCAATAACAGCAAAAGTGCAGTTTAATCATCATTTGATGTGTAATACTTTTATTAGCATCATTTGGAAAAGAACAATTTCAGTTTAGTGGTTGAAATATTTTATTTTCCTCACCAAAAAAAAAAAAAAGCCTGTCATGAAAAAGTGTTTTATCAAAACTGGTGCTTGGACTAACCTACTCTGGCTGAGAAAACAAATCCTTCCTTTAAAGAAAAAACAAAATCAAAACAAAAAATCCAAACCAAACCCAAAAGACCCAACCAAACAACAACAAAAATATTAGTACTTAGTTTTGGGTGTCTAGTTAGAGTGACAGCTACCTTCAGAAGCTACAGACCGTCCCTCAGAGGGGGAGAAATCCTGAACAAGGAACACCAACCCCCAGGTCAGAAAGTATCTGAATGGTCTCAGGGGGCTGCTGGTCTGCCTGATGATTTCTGGTGGTGGCTGGAACAGGTAAAAAGTGCCTGCAAGGAGGAAGCAACTCTTCCATATAATTTATTATTCAAGTATAAAAGTTTAATGTACCTATTTGAACAATTAAAGTGTGCTCTCTAGAGCAAAATTTTCTTTTTGTCTTTGAAAACACAATGCCTCATGAAACACTAAGTGCTACAGCCAGGACACAAACATGCATTTAATTGCAAGTTGCTTGTTGCTCTGTACACACCCAGGAGCAAGAAATAGCTTTATTATTATAATAGACACAATTAAAGAAAGATAAAAATCAGGAACCTCACACACACTCACTGGGCTTCTGTGACAAATCTGCTCACAGCTGGAAGCCTAATATGTTTAAGGGTGGCTGATCTTTAATACAATTTTTATAAGATTGTTGCAGTGCTGCTATAAAAGCCTGTGGCACAAATCACGATTGGAACAA